CATTACTGGCCATATCCACATAAAATATGGCCCAGGCACAAGAGGAGTTTTGTAGTTGCATTTTCCTTTTCATAAAAATGCGTCTCTTTTCCAAGTCGATGTATTAAATATCCATGGTAACAGCAGGGGACAACCAATCGATTATATACAGCAAGTGGTGAAAACAACAGTGCAATAAATGGTGAATAAAAGGACAACAAAACAAAAACCTCTTTTGCTGTATTATCTTTCAGCTGAGAAGCAGGAGCCCACCAGTATTCTGACACAACTGGGATGTTTACATTACTGGTGTCTATGTAATGAACTTGTTCTTACCTTTGATACTGTGTTTTTGATTATGTCATATTAAAAAAAAACAAACAAAAAGCACCACATCAGAACACCAAAGTTAAATCTGTATGCAAAAGCCCACATATCATTCTATAAGCCATTTATTTATAGACAACAGAAGAAGAAACAAAACTTGTGACTGTTTGCACTTTGCTGTTGCAAGTGCCCAATTAAATGTTCCTCCAGATCTCTAGCTGTCTTTTTCTCGCTACACACAGACCAAGTTCTCGGGTTGCATTCCCAGTGTATCAACCATGGCTACCTCTGCAGACTTGAGACAGACCCAAACCTCACAGTTTTAGTCTCTCATGAAGTACTGACCACAACACTTACTTAGCACCGAAACATTTAAGACAAAATAGATCCTAAGAGCATTAATCCAGTCAACACACTTGCCTTTCCTTCTGTATGACTTACCTTTCCATTGGTACAGAGAGGAAGGCCCAGCTTCTTCCAGCCTCTTCTGCAAAGTCTGCCTCTGTGTTAAATTATTTCTTCCATCTGTCTCTGCCGACTAACCTCCTCTGATTTTTAGCGTAGCCAGACAAACCAGCTGCATCCCTCAGAACTGGAGCTATCATTCCTGTAATTACCACCTCATGGGTTTAGTCACATATAGCTGACACAGGGGAACCACTGAATTGCCTTTTATTCCTTCATCAGCTAGCTCCCTATTAAGTTAGATCAATACATCCATAGAGGAAAGTAATATAAAGTAGCATAACCCACTGTATAGTAACTTCCTCTCACCAACCTGGCCACATACAGTGTTCATAAAATTATTACAAGTTGGTATTCTTCAGCTATTACTCAACAGTGGCTACACTGGCAAAAATCAATTCTTCCTTCACAAAAAAATATTTTACTAAGCAATAAAAGGGTCAAGTCATGTCAGATGATTCAGGAAAGAAGACTTCAGCCTCCAGTTTCTGTTGTACTAAGCACAATGCAAAATAAAGATCAATGTGACAAAAGAAGAGCTCATACAAGTAAGCCAATCTTCTGTACACTACTAAGCCACATTAAAAAGCCTTTTAATCCCTTGTATCTGACAATGCCTGCTGGTTTGAACCCCAGAGAGTTATTTCATTTAGACTCTGTCAGTGAAATCTTTTTAAAGCCAAGCATGGCCACCTGATTTTCATGTCTTCCAGGTCTTCATGCCAATTCAGCGAGCTGCCCAAGTCCTGTGGATCACCTTTGCACTCAGGAGCCATGAAACAAATGGGTATGCATACATTCTCCTTGAAAGAGATGTGCAGAACACTTATCAAGTAAATACCCACCCCAAATATGACTGAGTAAAAGTTTCCTCCTAAATCACACAGATACATGTACTGGCACTTTAAAGCATGTGACTAACTAGCTGATCCTCAATTCTGTTCAAGATTACCAGCCCAAGAGAATCTGCCTCCAAGACTGCCTTTTGGAATAAGACTTTGAGTGCATGGTAAACCCAGACTATGAGTGATTTTGAACCCAGCCAATCTGCAGTCTGTAGGAAGGATCTAACAGGCAGCTGCTCCAGGAAACGCCACTTCCATGGTAAAAATGACCAAATAAGGTGGTATTTTCTACTTTATTTTTTCTAACAGCAAAGGTCAGGTTACTCATGCAGGAGAGCTGAACACCTAGGGCTACTATGGGAGGAGAATGGCATTTGCCTTGGAGGCTGTCCACATGCAACACAAGACAATAATTACCTGTTTTCCCCCTTGCTAATACTGAGGCTGATAAGCACTGGATCAGTCTTGTGGATAGATTAAAGGAGCTCAAAGAATATTTGCTTCATATTATAGCATTTACTAAGAGGTCTGGTGGCCCTGTCAGCTGGTAGGAACGGGCACGGCTAAAGCCCAGCTGTGTTCCTGTGGAAGAAGGCTGGTGGAGGAGCCAAGCAGGACCTGTCCAAACCAAGGATCTCTCCGCTCTGTCCTTGGGGAATGGCACAAATCACAAGGATCATCATGGCAGGCAGCAGCATCTAAAAATGGAAAAGATTATTAGGTCATATAACACCTCTTCTAGCCAGGGGTGAGACCTACGTTCTCTAAAATGAAGTCTTTCAAACCCTAATTAAATGTAGTCAATCCTCATTAAAGATAAACTAGGTTAATATTTATGAGAAGCATTTCTTGTGCTGCATGCTATCTCACCTCACTTAAGGACATATCTGGAAACATTCTGTAATAGTTTAGCTGGATTCTTCTGCCCATTGATTTTTATTTTTCAGAGTGTTCTGAAATCATTCCTATTTATACTTTTGAAAACAAGTTACTGGCAGTAAGCCAAAATTGTTTAGGCCCAAATCATGACCTTCCTTTCAACTGCTATAATCTGACTCAAGTAAACAAAATTTCCCTCACACAGTTTTTGTGAGGAGGGATGGGTGGAGAACTGCCCTATTTTCGACACACCCATAGACCAGTATCTGCCCCTTTCTTCAAGCCTGGCTCTATGGCAAGGGCTTCCCCCATCCCCCAGAAGTATATATCCTGTTAACCCTCCACTTTCACATCTGTGTTCATCCTGTTCATGTCCTTGCTACGATCAGGCAGCCAAGGGTTCACCTAGCTAATGACTGAAAATATATAAAAATAAAATTGTCTGAAATTCTTTAAATGTATGGAATCCATTAGGTGGGCTGTTTGTGCCAGAACAGTGTTGGATCCAGCCTGCAACTGCAAGCGAGGACTTTGGTCCAATTTCCACTTATTTCAAGGTTGCTTATACCCCTGCAGTAGTATCACTGTAGCAGTTTGTTAACTGTGAATTAGGGCAAATGTATTTCTGGATTTCTGCAGACTGCTAAATGTATTCTAAATGCCTAGCATTAGAAGCATGACTTCAAAAGGGAATTCTGATTGAAAGGAGGAAAATAATATTATTATTTAGCTGCAGCTTAAGCTGCAACAAAATACGTAACAAATGTAAGAGGTGGCTTCAACACGGACTTTGATTTGGTGTTGATTTGATGGGGTTCAGGATTATGTTGATGGAGATACTGCATAACAGGACAGAATCTGATGTGTGGGACGTAAATGTTCTCATCACTATCATTTACCAAACTGTACATTCCCTCTGGAAGCATCCCAGGCAGCATTAAACCCATCTTCTTCTAACTTGTTCCAGCCCAATTAGTAAGTTTAATTTTATTACTGTTTAAAGGCATTTACATGAATGCCTCAGATTTACTGTGCGTTAACATCTTTGACAAGAATCATCTAATAAAGTTCTTGATGTGCTGCAGAATGGAAACAGGCCAGAGAGAGTCTTTCTGTACACAGCAGTGTCCGTAGGTTTACATTTTCCCTGCTAAAGTCTAACAAACAGTAACCAGTGCTCGAAAACGATGACAGAGACACGAGAGGAACGAAACAAATTCATCTTCGTTGGCTTAAAAACTGGGTCAAGGCCAGCGCTGAGGGCACTATTTCTGTGTAAATAAAGATGCAGCAATACCCCATCCCGCGTGTACAGCACCCACGACAGCCAGCTGGGTAGCTGGGGGGGCCGGAGCCCTGCGGGGTGCGGAGCGGAGGGCCCGCGGTGACACGGGCTCTGACCCGCCCAGGTTTACACACGGAACGGCTTCTTCTACCTGGACCGGGACATCCCGACACGGGCGCTCCCCGGCGGGCCGAGGACGGGGATGGGAGCTCCGACTGGAACGCCGCACTTACCTGGCGGGCGGCCCGGGGCAGGGGCCGGGCGGGGAGCGGCACTCGGGGCGTCTCTGCCCCGGCGGCTGGAGCCGGGGGCGGCTCCTCCGTTCCCCCCGCGGCATCTCCTCCGTATCCGACATCCGAGCGCAGGACGCGCCGCCGCCCACCCGGCGGCCGCTCTCCTGCTGCCTCTCACCTTCCTCCCACCGACCTCTCCCTCCAGCACCCCGGGTTGTTTATTTGCTCAGCGAGCCCCTGCGAACCCCCTCCCGGCGGGGCCGGGGCAGCGCCCGCGGCGGGCGGGCGGGCGGTGCCGGCGCTGCTGCCCCCTCCGCCTGGGAGGAGCGAGCGGCGACGGGCGCGGAGCGGCGGCGGGGGGAGGGCAGGATTTAAACGAAGGGCGGTGACACCGCACAAAAGATTTCGATAGGCTCAAGTGAGGTTACAGCAAAGGCAGCGGGGCGGGGGAGCTCCCCCAGAGCCGTGCAGCGTCTGGCTGGCAGCGCCGTCGCAGCCGCCGCTTCCCAGTAGTTTGTCTGAAAGCCTGAGAAAGGGAATTTAAACGAAGATTTCCTCCCCTTCTTCTTTTTATCTTTTTTTTTTTTAATTTTTTTTTTCCCTGGGAGTTGGCGGCTCAGCCAGGGAAGATGGCAGGAGGAGCGCCAGGCCGGGCGGGTCGCAGCATCCGCGGCTGCAGCCCGCGGCCACCACCCTTGTTTGCGGGGAGAGCCTAAGTTGGTGCGGCGGCGGCCACGGCGGGAACCGGCGAGGAGGGCCCGGGGACGCAGGGGATGGACCGCGGCGGCGGGGACTGAGCGCGCAGCGGCCGCGTGAATGATCGCGGCAGGAAGGAGTGAGGCAGAGGCAAAGGAAGGGGAACGGATCCGCCCGCCCGCCCCAGCACCCGGATCCGGTGGAGCTTTTTTTTTTTTTTTTTTAAACCCTCCTCTCTTTTTTTTTTTTTTCTCTCTTTTTCCTTCCCCCACCCCCCGCCGTCCCCGTGTCCCAGCTCCCCGCCGTGCCCCTCTCCCCTCCCGGCCCGGCTCCCCGCGGGTGCGCGGCGGGGCCGTGCGGGGCGGGCGGGCCACACCCTCCGCGGCGCTTCCTGCGAGCCGGGGCCGCGGCGGGCGCCGGGGGCGGCACATGGTGCGCAGCCGCCGCCCCTCCGGCCCCTGCGAGCTGCGCCCGGCGGGCGCTCCCCGACCGGAGGCGCCGGGGCCGCGGTAGCAACTTGGTGGGCTGCGCCCCTGCCCCAACTCCGCGCGGCGGCGGCGGCGGCGGCGGCGCGTCCCTGAGGGATTCCGGCTGCCGAAGGGAACTTCGCGCAGGATCCCCGCAGCCGGCGAGCACGGACGAGGCGGTGGGAAGGGAAGGCGAGCCAGCGTGCGAAAAGGAAAGGGAGAAATAGATATTTGTAACTAAAGGATGCCGGACCGGGGCCCCGGGGCTCCCGGCGAGCGCCGCCCCGCCGCGGGAGCGCCATAGGAGCGGAGGCTGGAGCGGGGCGGGCGCCCCGGCCGAGCTCGCTCCCCGCAGCAGCGGCAGCCCCGGCGCCCAGAGCCTTTTCTTGCCTCCCGGCGATTAATGGAATGATGTTGCGGAAAAGGCAGAGCGATCCTGCCGGGCTCAGTCGGGACTGCGCGGGCGGCGGAGGCGGCGGCAGCGGGGTAGCGAGCGGCATGCGAGTCCCCCCCCGGCGCTATGGCTAGCGGTGGCTCCGGCAAGTCCAGCAGCGAGGTCTCCGGCGGCGGCATCCCCAGCAGCAGCTCCCTGCAGAGGAAGAAGCTCATCTCTATCTGCGACCACTGCAAGATCAAGATGCAACTGGTGGCCGATCTGCTTCTGCTGTCGAGCGAGACCAGGCCGGTGAACACCGAGAGTCTGTCTGTCTTCGGTGAGTCCTTTGAGAAGTGCAGGGACACGATCATTGCCAGGACCAAAGGACTCTCCATCTTGACCCATGACGTCCAGAGCCAGCTCAACATGGGACGCTTCGGGGAGGTGGGGGAAAGCCTGATGGAGATGGGGGAGCTGGTGGTCTCCCTGACCGAATGCTCTGCCCACGCTGCCTACCTGGCTGCAGTGGAGACTCCGGGGGCCCAGCCTGCTATGCCTGGCTTGGTGGATCGCTACAAGGTGACCCGATGTAGGCATGAGGTGGAGCACGGCTGCGGGGTCTTGAAGACCACCCCTTTGGCAGATATGAGCCCTCAGCTCCTGCTGGAGGTTTCTCAGAACATGTCCAAGAACTTGAAATTCCTGACAGATGCCTGCGTGCTGGCCAGTGAGAAATCCAAGGATAAATTTGCGAAGGAGCAGTTCAAACTCAGTGTCAAATGTATGAGCACGAGCGCCTCTGCCCTCTTGGCGTGTGTCAAGGAGGTCAAGACCTCACCCAGCGAGCTGACCAGGAACCGGTGCGTCTTGTTCAGTGGACCTTTGGTGCAGTCTGTCTATGCTCTGGTGGGCTTTGCCACTGAGCCCCAGTTTTTGGGTAAAGCTGCCACCATTAATCCGGAGGGCAAAGCTGTGCAAACTGCCATCCTAGGAGGAGCCATGAGTGTGGTATCTGCTTGTGTACTCCTGACCCAATGCCTCAGGGATATAGCCCAACACCCCGAAAGTAGCACCAAAATGAGCGATTACAGGGAAAGGTTGAGGAACTCAGCTTGCGCCGTCTCGGATGGTTGCAACCTGCTATCTCAGGCACTAAGAGAAAGATCTTCACCCAGGACTTTACCGCCAGTGAACTCCAATTCTGTGAATTAACCCCCACATCTTCTGTTTAGATCCTAGTCATTGCTAAAGGAAAATAATATCCCACCTCCTCACCCTTTTTTTGTATACCAAAGAATTTGCTTGGATGAGCCCAATCCTTTGATTCTGTGTGGTGAAGAAGCAGAACATATTCAAAGTATATGTACTAATAAAGGTAGCCAGTTTTGGCTTCCTTTTGTTTTACTTTAAAGTTAAGCAAGTATCTGCAGATAAATTTTTCCTTATTCAACAAGGTCTTCACACAAATGGTAATAACTGTTTCAAAGTTTTTATATTTGGGGAGGTGGGGGTATCTTAAAAAAAAAAGGAGAAAAAAAAAAGAGCTTTAATCGCGCTGGGTGCGGTTTTTAAAGTTTGTCTTGTCTTGTCTTCCGAATTTCCCTTCTAAATTTTGCTGTTTGGTTGTGCAGGAAAAAGGTTACCTCAGTTCTCACTCATTTAAAAAAATGAAAAAACCCAACAACACATAGATGATGGATGTAGCTACTATTTTGTTTGTTTTTGTTTTGTATGACTTTTTTTATTTTGCATCAAGTGTTAGGTTAGAAGTGCATTTGGTGTGTAGGAGTGGAAGGACTGGAGGTTGTGATTATGTTTTCCATGTGTTGATTTCCAAACTGGGGGAAAAGCTACTGTGAGTGTTTAAACAAACAAACAAAATTACACTATAACAAAGTGATTTTTAATTTTTTTCCAATGTCAGTTTTTATCTTGCATGTACTGGAGTATTTATTTCATCTATTAAAATGTTATGTTTCTCAGATGCCTTTCTGTGAATCTCTTAATACTTGAATAATTGAACAGCTAGGCCTGTTTGCATTGTATGTCATTTCCCCCAGGGAATGGGTGGTACAAACGTAACTGGAGTTCTAGAGACAGCAGCATACAGGCTTCAATTCAGTTCTTTTATTTTCATAAACACTGTCCCTCCCCCAGTACTACCCCTCCTCCTCAGGAGCCTCTGGCAAAGCTACTCCAGTTGTATCTGTGGACCACTGGGCAGTGCTGCTTGGCATTGGGATTGCTCTGCACTGGGATTGCTCTGTGGAGCGCCGGTGGTGTCTGCAGCAGGGCACAGCCTGGCTTTGTTTGTCTTTATCAGCAGTCGGTGTTACCTTTTGAGTTTTGTGTTTTAACTCTTGCTGATGTTGTGGGCCATCTGTGTGTTAAATCTGTGATGTTGCATATTACTTCTTGAAAGACTTCACCCTGCTGGATGGCCCTGTGTGTTCTGTATGTCTGCTCGGGATCGTGAAGGTTTGCCAGAGTGGGCGCTTTATTTTTCAGAAGTTTGTGTTGGAACTCCTCAGTAGGGATTTCTGTCAAAGCAGTTTGAGGTTGATGTTATAGATTACAGGAAAAGATAGCCAGCTTTTGAGGCCCAGTCCACCTCCACTTGAATTCCTTGGGAACTGAGGGTGGACCTTAGTAAGGTGGGTCCACCTTAGTGGACTATAGCATACTGCTGTGGTTCCGATAGTTGCAATGAAGAATTTTTTCAGCCTGCTCTTTGTGGACCCGTGGGTTCTGTTGCTTTCTATATGTTGTGTTAAAGGTAAATAGAAGAGCAGGTCTTCTGCAAGGAGGTTTTGTTTGACTGCCCTGCTCCATTGCATAATTGTGCTTTTTTTTAGTAGATCTGCAAATTGAGCAATGTTGAAAGCTATTGGAGAACACACCTTAAAATGTTACTACCATGGCTTAAAACTTACCAAGTACTGTCCTATGTATTCCTTTGAAGAAGGTGACCTTTGGGTTTTGGGTATGGAACAGCCCTGGAGTAGTTAAAGGTCTTCCATTTATAGAATTATTGTTTCTCTTGCACATGATGCTTTACTTATGGATAGTGAAACTTTACTGGGTAGTGAACAAATAAATATGTTGGAGGAGATACAAGATAAGCTGTATCTCCAAGGTTAGGAAAAAATAATTCCTTAAGTACAGCAGACCTTAATATTAGGTTTTGCTTATATTTAAATGGAACTCTTCTGACTTCAGTGAATTGTATGAACAAGACTTTTCTTTGTCATAATCAGTCCAGGCTACTTCAGGGTGTGATTTTGTCACCGTGCTGTCTCTGATGCCCTGTGAACCCAGCAGTATGTGCTGCAGAGGCATGGATGTCCCCATCTGTGTGGTGTGGTATACAAGTATAAAAGTACTGTTACTGTTTTTTTCATAAATAAATTCACGCACACGATGCTGTAGCTTTGACTTAGATGCCTCCGCAGGTATTTCCTCAGAGGCTCTCACGTGTGCACACACAAACGTTTTCCCATCCATATGGCAGGAACAGCTGTAGGACTCTGGAGGGATTCATAGGAGGTCAAGGCCATGTACAGGGAGGTCCTGTGTCTCTGTGGCGTTTGGGGTTGTCTGTGCCTTGTATCTCCTTGCCTCGTAGCGTGTCTCCGTGGAGGCCGAGACACCCTCCCAACTGGCCCTTCCTCCTTTTCCGCAGTCGCTCTGAGGGGAAGGAGGAAAAAGGGACTGCAGCACACGTAATGCTTTCAGGATGTACTATCTTCTGCGGCTGTACACAGGAGGTGAGGAACCAGCTCCACCCTTCCTTTGCATAGATCCTGGATGGTTCAGAACTTCGTGTGGGACGTGTAGGGATGGTGCTGAGGAGCTGCAGGGCAGTGCTGTGCAGAGAGGGCACATGGTATCCTTTAGCTCCAGGTCTCTTAAGTTACTGTGACCTACATTGGTGAGGCCTCCTCCTTGCAGATATAAAAACCAGAGGATTCTGAAGGGCAGCTCCGCAGCGTCTGACAGAAAAAAGTGGCGTCCCACTGGCTCTTTTGATGTTTCTACTTAATAATTTTTGGTGCTGCTGAACTAATTAGGTTTTTTTTGATTCATTTATACATTATTGAGGTTATATGGATCACAGTACAGCCTCCTTATTACCTCTGCATATGAAAGGCAATATATTATTAACAATGATAGTGCCGGTCTTTGTTGTGGTAAGATCTTGTTTTAAGTGGTTTAGTGCAATTTTTGTTTTAACAAGGATATTGCGTATTCTTTCCCCCTTTCTTATATTTTGAAGTCAGGTACATGCATATATATATAAGTAAGTACGTATCTTTTTCCTTTAACACTGAAGGAAAACAAAACTCCCTTTGCTTTTGAGCTGCGTGAGTTTTGGAAGGATTTAGTTTTATAAAATAAAATGTGAAATGTAGCCAGACCATGATTCTGGTTAACAGGTTGCTTAGATATATATATATATATATATATATATGTACATACAAACAGTAAATTCACCAAAGTAACTTACTGTGACATTTTAAAACAATAGTAATTTTAACAGTTCAAAATGTTCATTCATTTCTTTCAAGAGTAGAACTCACACAAAGGGAGCCATGAGCTGCTCTCTGGCCTCAGAGAGCCAGAGAGAGAGTATCTGTCAGAATCTGTGCTATTCATGTAATTAGCACAACAAAGGTAAAAAAAAAAGGCTTTTGATACAAATAAGCACAACTTTTTATGCACTCTGAGTAAATGATTAACAGGAAAATGTCTATTTATACATATACATATTGTAGCATTTTCTGAGCTGAAAGAGTGGGGTTCCACTACTAAGTCTGAACATACATCTATTTTAAATGCCGTAGTGCCACATTTGTAAAGAATGCATATTGTGATAATTTATTTGGAATTTATTCCTGTAGAATATTAATTCTGATACAGGGCATTATTTCAGTTGGTATATTCATGTTTGTTTACTTTGTACTCTCTGGGACAAAAAAAAAACAAACAAAATGGGCAAGTTTCAGGGTGCACTCGCAGGCCCCATCAAGGTCACTGATTATCACTTGGCATCATATTTCAGGACCTTGTTGCCCAAATGCTTACATACCATTTAGGTCAGCAGGTAGTGTCACTATTTCACCATGGGCTTAGACAAGCAAGAGACTTCTTTTCTGATCTGGAATCTCGATGATTTTGACAAAAGAAAAGATTTTGTGGTGCTTATATCACATATATAATAGATTAGTAGTGCTTTTAATAAAAGGGTTAACCTATTTCTAAAGACATTATGCAATGCACATTTCTAGCCAAAACCAACACTATCCCCACCAAAAGAGAATTAAGCTTACTTCTTAAATGTAATAACTTTTTAACAGGGAAGAAGTTGTCACCTTTGTATTGTCTGTGGATTTGATACTATATTTTGGTTGCTACTTCTGCATAGAGAAGTTCATTGTTGATGTAATACAGCAGCTGAATCTCTGAGTTTGAGGTCACATCGGTGTGTTTTCTGATTCTAAAAAAAGTAAGTTCTGTAAGACAACCAGTAAACTAACAGCAAAATGCTATTGAAAAGCAAGTGCACTGTTTAAGGGAACTTGCAAATGTAAAGCCATGTTATTTTTCAAAACTAAGAAAAAAAAGACCATGGGTCAGATAATTCCCTTTACTTTTTACCACAGGAAATGATCAAAGTACCAGAAAATCTGCTCTTTTTGGCCAAACTTCTGTCAGAGACAGAAGGGGTCGAGCCAACACATGGTGTATGCAGCCTTGCAGCAAGAGAGGGGATGTGGCTGATGGGAAAGGAGGTGGGACCAGAGAAAATCTGTAGGGTAATACCTCTTATTAAACCCACAGGAATTTTCCTATTCTAGATAAAACAGAGGCTGATCCAATAAAGCAAATCTCAAACAACGCAACCTTTCTTTCCGGGCTGCTGGAAGCCTGTGAATGGGGACGTGGGGCTGGGAGTGTTTGGGATGCTCTGAGCTGAGCAGCTGTGCTGCTGTGGGGAACCAAGGGTCTCTAGGGTGGCCCTGAGATGTGTAAGAAGTACAGGCACAATGTGTACCTGCCAGAACAGTTTGGTGGGAAATGAAGGGGTTGGGTTTTATCTTTTTTTTTTTTTTTTTTTTTTTCTGCTTTCTTCCCTATCAGGCTCTTTCCAGACTTTACAAGCAGAAGCAGATGGTAGGGGCCAGTACATTTTACTTCTTTGTTCTTGCTGCCTGTGAAAGGTGCCAGATGGGCAATGACAAAGATAGAAATTCTCTTCCTGTAGCCCAGGGATAGCGGAAAATGCAGAGCTTCAAGGCTGCCCTATCCTCACAGGATTACCATAACATGTTTTTTTGGGCCCACTGTTTCCCTCTTTGATTTTTTGCCAAGAAAATGACAGAAAATCCCAGTGGCAATTTGACAGGGGCATTGAGAACCATTATAGTGTTTCCCACAGGACACCAAACCACCACTAGGTTTGGATCACTTACAACTGAGCCAAAAAGTAGAAAGGCTAGGTATGAAGTGCAAGGCCAGATCCTTCTTATGACTAACTCAGAAAAAGTGTACTCTGAGAGGAGTTGATTTACTTTGGAATTAGAATTATCCAAATTTTTATATAGAATAGTTCAGAGTTACATTTAATTACCATAATTAGCAGTATTTCAAAACATTTTCCTAATGAAGAGAGACATCTATGGACACGAAGGGCCTCATCCATGACTCAATGAAATCTGTGTAATTAAGTATTAATGTTTTTCCAAACTATGTTAAAATGTTAAGGGTTGTTTTGTGTGGCAAAGCAAGGCATTTCATATTGATTTTTATTAATCTGAATATTTTCCTAGAACTGGTTTACTGTACTAGAGTCCTTTGAACTTAAGGGGGTGTTTTTGTTTTGTTTTTTTAAAACCACACAGTGTATGATGCTATATTTCAACAAAGTCAAAAGCAGCATTTCAAGATTAATGCGGATTCCTGGGGTCTTCTGTCAGCTTGCCA